ACAATATTTTTGGAATAAACAGTTGTATGCAAATGGTTTGGGTGCCCCAGTCAAATAACTTGTTTTGTTGAGTGAAAATAAGTTAACATATCCTCTACAGAGAACACAACTTCTGCACCTTAACACACAGTTACTGCTTATCTAAACATTATGAATTTAACATATTGGGATAAAAATAAAACATAAATGAGGTCTGTGCAAAAGTAATGTCACAGTTTACATTTTATATTTGATTTTTTCGTGTTAAAACATATGCACTAAAATTAGCAGTATAAATGCTATATTTACATGTGTTCTCTGTAAAGGATGTTTCAACTTATTTTCAATTTGATCTGGGGTGGCAAAACACATGACTAGTGTAAAGGTACTTTTTAGCTCTTGATCTCTCACTTTTCAATCTCACTTTTCTTTTTCTTAATAGAAAACATGAACATTTTGATTTCTTGGGAACATCTACCTGTACTCAAAAACAACACACTGTGTCTAGTTAAGAAAAAGGACTTTCAGTTTTCTTATAAAACAGATAACATGATGCAAAATATGGTAAAACGGTTAACACAAAAGGTGTGATGCTGTTTGACGCATCTTTTCTGAGAGTGTGCAATTCTTTTTTTAATTAGAAAAAATAAAAGAGCCCAATTTTTTTTTTTGGTTGTCTGTCCAGGAAAAAAGGAACTTTGTCCTGGAATACAGGCATTTTCATAAGTTACCAGTTACAAGTCATAATTCATTTTTACATGACCTTTTTTTGACCTGTCTTTACCCCTTGCATAATACATCAAACTTGTATTTCTAAGAAGCTACAAAAATCCAGTTTTTCATGATGTGTGTCCTATAAATGGGAAGATTGGGTTCTGTAGCTGACCTGACATCTGTTCACCTCAGATTGAGCTGAAGTGGCAACCCAAGTTGCAGTCATTGTTGGCTCAGGTGTAGTAGCAGCGTTTACAGCCACACAGAAGCATATGGAAATACCCCAAAAGGATATCAATACAGTCCTGTGTGCATTTATGAGATGCAGCTGCAGCGATAAATCTGTTGAATTTCACATCACATTAAATCAGACAGTGACAGAAGAAGATGTAGCCCAGCAGGCTAATCAGTACCGAATCTGCCACACACCTGTCCCTAATCCACAAACACATTCAGCTCTGTGTGAACGAAAGAACCCAATAAAGCTACATCTCCGCCTGCCAGGCTCACTTCAAACACTGAACCCCTTAAAATGCCAGCCTTATTACATCCTAATGCTTGTTATTTTGTAGCTACATGGAAAACAAGGCAAACTGACTGAGTTATTCTTACGTTATAGAAGTAGGTAATGGAGGCATGGACCCTCTGGCAGGTCTTGGGCATTTAATGGGTTAAGTTTCTAAAAGCAAGGTGGCTGAGTTGAAGGCTTTTTCCTTTTCTCCATCATGCTGTGATTAAAAAAAAAACATATGACGCACACACACACAGTTCCTATGATCAAAACACTTGAAATACTGCGCAGCCCACTCACTGCTGAAGGCAAAAGTGTAATTATTACTTACAAAAAAATGAAATAAATAAATAGCAGCAAAGTCTTGTCTTTAAAAGTCTCTGCCCACAGTGGGGTTCTCGTATGAGGTGCATATTTAAACATGCTGTTTTCCTCTGATTATTGTGTACCTTTGTGGATTAGAGAGGCATTTATATTTAATCAGTCATGTAAAAATGTTGCCCCCCTCACCGTCTCCACCCAAAAACAATCAAAATTCAGCATCTCAGAATGTTTTGGCTGATTACGGGAGCAAAACACAGGCCACAGACTGTACTTGCATTTACTAAACAATAACAGCTACAAGCTTTTACGCTGCTTTGCCGCTTGAATTTAACGGTTTAAACCGTCATTCTCTTATCACGACTAGATTTAATTATAGCGTGCAGTGTGCCATGATTTTTTATTATTATTATCATAAATCAGATCATCTAAAATTTGGCATTCACAGATGGAAACTTAACAGTGAACTCCAGAAATCATTTCATGCTTATTTAAGCAGAGTATTAGACGTTTCCACAAATGTTTTATCACATCATCTGTAGCATTTCTCATGGAAGGCGCTGCTATTCTGATTATCCAGCACAAGTGTTCATTCGGTCTGGTTAGGATAATAATAGCAGGGGTCAGGATTTCCCACCTCCAGTGTCATATTCAACTACACACTGTTTTCCAGCAGTTGATCGATCTCCAAAGGGACCTGATCATAAGCTAATGATGATCGCGGGTACAGGAAACATGACAAAACACTGGACTACAGGCCTGAGATGGGGAAAAACTGAGACTGATGTACACTATATGGCCAAAAGTATGTGGACACCTTACCCTCACACCTATATTACCTTGATGAACATCACATTGTAAAATAATTAAAATAGAGTTGTCCTCCTACCTTTGCAGCTGTAACAGTCTCCACTCCTCTGGGAAGGCTTTCCACAAGATTTTGGAATGCGTCTGTGGAAATTTTTGCCCTACCCGAGGTCAGGCACTGATGTTGGACAAGAAGGCCTGGCCCACAATGGGCGATCCTGTTCATCCCAAAAGTATTCAGTGCGGTTAAGATCAGGACTCTGTGCAGGCCACTGGAGTTCCTTCACACCAAACTCACCAAACCACAGGGCCACAGTCATGCTGGAACAGAGGGCTGGAACATTAATTAAAGCTGTTTATTTTCTGGATTTCACACTCTAGGAAAATAAAAACATGAAAAGTGGCCTGTCCACAAGCATAGGCACATTTTTATTGTATGTTGCATATTTTTCAATATGTTAAATCAAGCAAATACATAGAAATTGTACAGAAAAATGCCATATTAAGTTGCCCTCTGTGGAGGATGTCTTCGCTTAGGAAGTCAACAAAACGCCACTTGACTGGGGCGCCCAAACTTTTACATACTTGATGATATTTACGCCCACATTAGAATTTGCCATAAAGTGTGTACATTGCGGTTGGCCTGGATATGATTAACTGAGTGAAAAACTAATAAGAACAATTGATCCATTCATAATAGGGTTTTAACACATTGTAAAGGGCTGCTAGCTTTTTTTCAAATTGAAAACAAAACAAAAAAAAATAAATAAAAAAATGGAAACATGTTATTCCAACAGTGACAATATGTAGCCATCAAGTTTCTTTGTTCTTTGTCTGGTCTTGTGTATTCATTTCTGTGCATTTGCTCTGTGGATTTGGTTTGTTTGCTCCTTGCCTGTGCTTTTGTCTCCTTGTGAATCCTTGTATAATTCCATGTTTGTGTTGTTGCCTCAATGATCTCCTGTATGTTGTGGTGTATTTGAAATAAAGTGTAAAGACTCATACACACATCCTGCCTCTACTCCTCCCTAACCTACACCTAACACAAAAGTCAGGCACTCTACACCTACACTTTTAGCAAACATGGTTTTGTTCATGGCTAGAACCATTTTATAAAGCTTTAAAGAGCCACATACTTTACATAATTTACAACAGCAGAACTTCTTTGCATGTTGCAAATGGCCTTTACAAAACAAAACAAAGCATTATTACAGCAATGTTGAAAAACCATAATCATAGTGAAATATTGAGTAACTGATGACAGATGTACATCGTGAAGCCTAGATAATCACAAAAAAAATGTTAGTATATTCATTTCAAAGGGTACATCGAGATATAAAGCAGAGATGTTTAGAAACAGACAAGATGAGCTGATTAATGTTTTAAAAGCAGGCTGTCCTACAAACAATGCAAGCAAACCTTCAGGAAGGCTCCAACCACCACAGTCCCTCATTATCTATGATTTATTACTGAGTCACTCTTCCTGAGGGTCCGTGGATTTTAGGTCCTGTGTGTGTGTGTGTGTGTGTGTGTGTGTGTGTGTGTGTGTGTGTGTGTGTGTGTGTGAGTGTGTGAGTGAGTGGTTAGCTTTTTTTGGGGACAAAATGTCCACAGGATGATGGAAAACATGAACTTTGATGGTTTTCAAGAGGAAAACTTTATTTTGTAGAAAAAAAGGATTATTTATTTCACTAGGAAAAGCAAAATAGGTCAAGCTTGCTTGCAGAGGTCAGGGTTAGGGTTTGGTTAGGTGTTAGTTGTAACATATCAGCATTTACATACAGTTATGCACATACAAAATACAAAAAGTCAGGAAAACACCCAATACAAACTTGAGGGGGTGCATGCATTTAGCTCTTTGTGCCAAACATCTCCAAGAGGATACCATTTTAAAGGTAAATCACACCGATTTTTCAAAATTTATGCACAATTCTGTGGTTAAGATGTAAGCAAAGTCATTAATTTCTAAAGAAACTTGCTGAGTCAGAATTGTTCAGAGTGGTGGTGAAAAGAACCACATCTAAAGAGTTTGACGTCTCTGAAAGCTCCCTCTCAGAAAGATATCACATAAAATGGTTATGAATACACAGTCTGCTGTCTGAGCCATTGTTTTATGATAGTTTTGAAAACGTTTTGGTCTAAAACATACCCGTTTTTTCAAAATCCATTCATGGTTGAGGGGTACATGCAGGTCGTTGAGAGGCAAAATAGCCCCCAGAGAATTTGTGGATAGTAAATAGAATGGCTACATTTGCATTGTAGACACTGTGACCCCTGGTTCCTATCACCACCACTGTAAGTAAAAACAGAGAGGACAGGTTTCTTTACAATGAGCTATTTTACAACAAACCAGTCTGAATGACTTTGATCACATCTCAACAACTGAATTATGCAGAAATTACGAAAAATTGGTGTAATTTACCTTTAACGTGGTGGGGAAGTCTGGCCATCATTAAATTTAAAAGGGGATGCAAAGAGCTAATGTTAGATTTAAGTATAGATATTGCATAATTTACCTGTATGTAATACTAAATCAATGGAAATACCCCATAAAGGGAGGAATACAGGGTTTCTGTGTGTGTGTGTGTGTGTGTGTGTGCGCGCGCGCTCGTTCTTCGGTTCGAAGCGTTTTCATTGGCCACGTCGCGGTGGGGGGCGGGGCCAGACCCAGCGCAGATCCCCTGATTCCTGAGCGCTGAGTTTCCTGCCTGAACTCCACCAGCAGGAGGATCACCGCTGCTCTCCGCTCACAAACCAGCCCGAGCTGCTCGAGAAAATGGTGAGTAGGCTAAACCGAGAACTCCACGCTCTCTCCTCCGTCTCACACATGCCTATTGTCTTCTCTCCGTCCGTTTGCTCTTCATTCTTCGCTCATTTTCTCTTTCTTTTTCTCCCACTTATCTCCAGATGTTCCGAAGTATCTCCCTGGTCGTCTTGCTGGCCATAGTTTGCTGTCACGCTGAGGTAAGTTACTCGGAAAGGGAAAAAAATCTTACATTCGTTTGTTTTAGAAGTATAAAGAAGAATATTTCCAAATAAATCCTAAAATAACTTGCAAAGCAGCTCTTATTTCAACTTGACAGTCGTCCTCGGTCTCTCCTTGGTGGTCGCTCCCTCGAGTAAACTGAATTCTTTACGTTAGCCCACCTCTCCCAAATACTGAGTGTGCTGGACGGTGTTGAGGTCATGAAACTGATAGCTTGTGTTGGCGAACTGATTACTGAGGAGTGTGTGTGTGTGTGTGTGTGTGTGTGTGTGTGTGTGTGTGCGCGTGTGTGTGTGTGTGTGTGTGCGTGTGTGTGTGTGTGTGTGTGTGTGTGTGTGTGCGCGCGCGCTCTCTCTAATCTCCTTTTAATCATTAGTTGGATGCAGTAAGGTTCAGGTCTGAGCTTCTGAAGAGAGAGAATTCATGTTATTGAGTCTAACTGTGGACCATCCAAGGAAAGGGGAGGTCTGGTATACTGACTGACACAAACACTCTTCCCTTCTGAGAAAAGACTGTTAGAAACACTGGAATTTAAAACATGATGGTTTTCTAATGACAATTGGCTTAATGATACCTAGAAACCACTAGTTTCCTGTAGCACACCTTCAGATCTTTAGTGGTTTTAGTGGAAACTACAGTGACCAACAGAAATGTTTACCTGTTACTATAAGTCTGTGATTGTTTTTTCAGGGTTAGCTCAGTAGAACAGTTGCAGAGATCTTTTACAGAGATGTTCCCGAGTCACTTTAATTGAATCCCAAGTCGAGTCTGTGAGGTGTAATTCTGAGTCGTGTCTAGAGTCTCTAGGGTGCAATTTTGAGTCGGGTCTAGAATCTTTGAAGTGCGAGTCTGAGTCGAGTCTGTTAGGTGCGAGTCTGAGTCAAGTCTCAAGTCTTTGAGGTGTAAGTCCAAGTAGAGTCTCTGAGGTGTGGATCCGAGTTGAGTCTCAAGTCTTTGAGGGGCAAGTCTGAGTCAAGTGTAGAGTCTTTGAGGTGTGAGTTTCAAGTCTCTGTGATGCCAGTCCAAGTTGAGTCCCTTAGGTGTGAGTCCAAGTCGAGTCTCTGGGCTTTATCTGAGTTGCAAGTCTGAGTTGAGTCTCTGAGATGCATGTCCGGGTAGAGTATCAAGTCTTTGAGGTGCAAGTCTGAGTTGAGTAGCTGAGATTTGGATCCGAGTTGCGTCTCCAGTCTTTGAGATGCAAGTCCAAGTCTCTGAGGTGCGAGTCTGAGTCAAGTCTAGAGTCTCTGAGGTCTGAGTCCAAGTTGAGTCTCTGAGTCTGAATCAAGTCTCAAGTCCCTGAGGTGCAAGTCCAAATTGAGTCTCAAGTCTTTGAGGTGCAAGCCTGAGTCAAGTCTTGAGTCACTTCATATGAGTCCTATCTTTAATTTTGAAGTTTCCAGTTTTAGGATATTAGAATTGGCAGATTCTTAATTTTGCCACTGGACGTATCTTTACATTCCACCGATATTTCAAACCAGTATTCGATTATGTATTTCTCTGAATCCAAGTTGAGTCTCAAGTCTTTGTGATGCAAACCCAAGTTAAGTCTCTACCACTCTACTAGGCAACTAGTATGTGTTACTGTGCTAAAATGTCTGCATTTTATTCAGTGTAATGCATTTATAGCCCTTTTTGCATTTTTGCTGCAATGCTAGTCCAGGTAGATTTAGTCCCAGTCTCAACATTTTATAAATGTATCGGCGTTAGTACCAGCAGACATCTACATGGAAAATATTGGATATTGACATCGGCCCACAGTTCCCTTATCAGTGGATCTCTAATTCTGATGGACACACACAAATAGTTGGTTCAGCAGAACAAGTGCAAATATTTTTGATGTCAGTGAAGATAACAGTGACGGCAGTGGTGAGATGAGACACAGGCAGATGCGGGACCCTGGACCTGCAATGTTCTCATGCACATGCAAACATTTAAATCAACAGGACACTTGCAGACGTGCTTGATACTATGGTGGTGGTGATGATGATGATGATGATGAGAGGCAGGCTGTGATGTATACAGTAAACACACAGCTGTTAAACCTATGCAGATGAGAATCTGTTGTGATGAAAGATGATTGGTGCAATGTGCTGCAGCCTCAGATGGGACTTGGATGCTGTGTTTGTTAGCATTGGCTCCAGCGCATTGTCACATACAGTGGTGCCAAGTTATGAAGCTCTGCGAACTTCAGCATAGGATGTTAACTTAAACCTCAACATTTCTGAGAAACGTACTGACTCAGATTTCTTTACAGTGGTGGTGATAGGAACCAGGGGTTGTGATGTTAACAGTAATATCACTGTTGTTGGAAGAAAACCTCATATCTCTAAAATAGTAACTTTACAGGAGAAGGAAAAAACCTACTTTACTTTTAATGTAAGTCATCTTTCCAAGTCATTTTGGGCCATTCTTCATGAAACTTACACATAATAAAAGGGACACAAGCACTTTCAAATGATGTCAAAAACTGAAATCCGGAAAAAAATGGCGATATAAGGTTTTCTTCCGACAGCAGTGATATGCAAATATAGCCATTTTATTTAAAATGACCAGTGAACCTGCATATGTCTTCTGAGTTTTTATATGTAATGGTATAAATGGTAACATAGCGGTAAATTCTTTGGAGACTATTTTGCCTCACAACGACCTGCATTTACCCCTCCGCCATAAATGGATTAAAAAAAATAGATATGTTTTAGACCAAAACTTTCTCAAACCTATTGTAAAACAATGTCCCAGACATCAGGCAGTGTGTTCATAACCATTTTATATAATAACTTTCTTCAAGGTTTTGTTTGTAATGTTGATAAATGAAAAAATAGAAGTAAATATGAAAAATTTTGTTTTCTTTGGGTAATATTTGTGTGAGCATGTGTGCACATTTAACAGTGAAGTGTATAATTTCTACAGTACAGCCAGTGTTAGCTTAGTAAACATATAGGGAACAATTTGGCCACTTAAGTAGCTGCATATAAGAAAGAAGGACAGAAAATTAAGTCCTTAATTGCAGATATACATATAACAGTTAGTCATCAGCTAAAATATCATAACTGTGACAGCACTAACGCCATCAGAAGAAGAGGCCTTGTTCACTAAATGGCATCCGAGAGCTGGAAGCATGATGGAAAATGAAGCATTTACTGAGAATAAGAATGAGGACCGGACTCTGTGAGAACGTTTTAATTTCATAAATGTTTGCCTTTGCAGTGATGAGTGAGCGTCTGAGCTGAGTTTTATTGTGTGTTAGGTTAAGAGCATTTCTTAAAAGCTCAAGGCTCATTCAAAGGCTTTATGCATGAAAATGTGAAGGAAGTACTTTCACGCTGAAAGGATAGCTGATAAAACATTCAAACTGAGACATGAGCATCTCTTAATGGGTGTTAATTCACCACTTACACCCCTCCCCTCCCTACACCCACACCACAACCCCCCCCATTTCAGGCTTCTCAGACTTCTTTGCTTATCCTTTTCACTGTGCCTAGCTCTGCTTTAGCTTTGCAGCCTGTCAGATGTTTAGTCCCCCCAGGGTATGATGGGCCGCTTACATAGACATGCTCTTAAAGGGTGTCGGCTCAAATTAAACCCCACTACCTTTCACTCTGTGAGCTTGAATGCCCCCCACCTCTTCCACACACACACACACACACACAAGTCCAGGCTGGAGAGAAGCTGTGTGGAGGACAGATGGAATGCCAGCCCTGGGATAAAGAGAGAGAAAGACAGCAATGCAGTTTGTTATTGTGTTTACAAGTATGTAAATTATTCCACATAAATGCGTAAGGGCTTTTTAGAAAACAATGAAACATACTGTTAAATGTTGTCTGCATATGAAAACAATGTTGTCGCTGTCGTAAGAAATCCTCTAACCTCAGAAACGGTATTTTTATAGGAGAAGGAAAAAATATTTTAAGAAAATGATATTCATGTGATTTTGGGCTGTTTCTGTTGGTCTATTCAACACCAGATGTACACACAATATAAAAGGCAGCTGGTCTTTTTTGAATGTTGTAAACTTTGTAAAATGGAAAAAGGGCACTCACTGTAATTTACTATTACACTGACTATCGTATTTTGTAAGATATTTTAAATATATTACTCGAGTGAATGTCTGATGCGGTGTTAATGCAAGCTTGTGTTACTTGATTTTATGTGTTCATAGCTGTCACATCTTCATGCCATAACTAGCTACGAGCACACAGAGTTCTGGACTTCGGTCATTTCGAAAGGTGAATCTCCAATCATGAGATTCATTGTGGATAACCGGATAATGTAATAGCTTCCATCCCAAGACCTCACAGTCAGCAGTGACCTGATTGGTTCTGCTGACCTCAGAACAGCTATAGTTTTCCACAAACTGCCCACAGTTTTTAGCTCTGCATTAGACTTTACGTGACTTGACTTCTTGTTATCATGTATAGTTTAGAGATGCACAGAGATATCAGAGTCATATCGGTCTCAATAGGTATCTGCTAAATAAACAAATATCGGGCAGATGATTAGACTTGGCTGATATTTTAAAACAGTATTAGATGATGCATTTATTGTACAGTGGAAAAGCAGAACGGTAACATTTTCTTTTAAGTTCTAGGTATTAACCAGGTAAATAAACAGATACTTCAAAGTAACAGAGACTTATTTTGGGTAACATGTTTCCAACTAAGACATTTTGCTAAATTACACTGGAATTCCAAAAAGGTTCAACTGGATAAGTTAACTTTTGAGGTATGAACTCAAGAGTACTGTGTATAAACAGTGATCTAGTAATTGCCTCGTACTTTAGTAAGTACCTAGTACTCTTACCTGGTTGATACCTAGAACATAAGGGACTGTGAAAAGAAGTGCTACTAAATAGGATGTTTAGGTGATGCTGGGATACTGTGCTAAAATGACTGCATTTTATTCATTCAAATCAAATCATGTTTTTTTGTCACATCACATTTACACAGGTGAGTAGAAATCTTAGATGCATAGTACCCTT